CCCCAAAACCCCAAAACCCCACGATGCTATAATAATTTAGAGGATATAAATGCAAAAATAAATATTATAATTAATTGAAAGCTTTACTATAATTGTAAATGATTTTATAATTATAAATATATCCTTAAACAAATGAAAACAATATTACCTATATCAGCAGCACTTCTAATGGGGTCTGTTATGACCCATAATGACTATCGCTTGAACCAATTTATAGAAATGCCAAAAGTGCGATAGGCAAAAGCTAATGATGATGACATGGTTCCAAATGTTAACTCTAAAGTATATAAAGCTCCAACTGACAGTTTGATGTATAAAATGCTTCATGGCTAGTTAAGTAATTCAGATTTAGCCAAACTCTCGAGCAATGATCAATCAGAGTCAAGTGAAGATAAAAAGCAAATTACTAAAGCTTCTGATGATGAAACTCAAAAAGAGTCTCAAAAGAAAAATGACTCTGATTCACCAGATATGATAAAAGTCTAAGCTTTTCTACCCACCTAGAATGATTCTTATAGAAGCTCAAGGCAACTTTAATCAAATGGGGGGTTCGATTATAATTCAGATAATTAATTCAAGAAGAGCAAAATTAGAAAAAATCTAAACAGATATAAAGAAGTAGGTAATGATTCTAGAGTAAACTTCAATGCAATGTCTAGGAAATAATAACATTAGCTTTAAAGTGATAGATATTTCCCTCATGAAAATCATGTTGATCTATTAAGTTTTTCGAGTGAAAATCATGGCCCTTTATTTCATTTAATTCCTCAAAATCTTCACTCAGGATTATATCAGCATTCAAGTGATAACGAGAAATGGATGTCTAATTACAACTAAAAGAAATTCATTGATAACGCAAATTTTTAAAGCCTAGTTTAAAATGAACCTAAGGTATTTCTGCCTTAAGAATTATAAGCAGTGCCTAGTTTGAGATTTCCTGACTTAATTCATATGGGAGGATGGACTGAAAGTGCTACTTTACCATATCATAATCCTTAGGATGACTTCGTTTATACAGGACCGCCTACGCCCTCTCCAAAAGTGCTTCGAAAATATCCTGGGTATCGTTTAAACGAATGACTTCAGCTTTTGAATCTCCAATTTTAATCTAAATTAGAGAAATATTTAAATTAACATTTCATTTTGATTCAATGGGGTTTTGGGGTTTTGGGGTTTTGGGG